AAGTTCAGATACGATATACATATGTGCGTACGGATTTCTGATATAAGAGAAAATCGGTCCCCGATTGTTGGCCAGTTTTCCGGCCTTTATCCATCAGTGGTGGTAACACTCTCATTTCCTAACGAGATTCTAGTCTTGGGTATACTTTTCATTTTAACTTAATTAATAACATTGTTTTAAAATTTTAACGCCATCCTTACATTTAAAATTAACAATGGGATTTCACTTTTTTCATATAAAAATATAAATTGTGTATCAGCGTGTATCAATCGGATCTCTTCAGGAAACTTTAATCGATCGACTGTATATCAAGGGCTAACAGTAAGAATTTGCACAAAATTCCGTAATTAAAAAAAAATCGATTCGAATCAAATAATGCTAAAAAAATCCCCTTTTTTGGTGAACAAAATTTTTTCATTGAGTTTTTCTAAATTTTAAGCATGGCAGCAACAAATCTCATAAAAAAGGAACTTTTCCAAATATGGGCGATTGACTGGTGCGTGGTGGGAGCGAAGAATGCGGCTGTTGTCAAACAAACTTCCTGCGATAGGCTTAAAGAACGGTGCAGTCAGGGTTATAGAATGCGAGATCGTTTAACTACAAGTCTATATATGCTATGGGCGCTCGCATACGGAACATCGTAAGACATATAACGCTTGTATAGACCGTTCATCGCAGAATGTATACGATATAAAGCAAGAGATATCGCATACTTTTAATCGCGTACCTGTCTTTGAGTTTAACAACTATTTTTTTTTTATTTTTTTTTATTCAGATAAAGAAAAAGTGGTGTAATTCAAAGAAAACCTGTTAAAGCACAACCAAGCAAAAATGAAAATTTCGCAACATTTATAAAATATTAAAATTATATTCGCCGAAAACAAAATTTCTCTACAGTAAGACTTTGTATGCGGGAGAACTGACAGCTCGTATGAGAATGCCCATAGCAGGTATATACGTGGGGTAATGTGGAGAAACACAAATATGTAATAATTTAAATTCCTGTTTTTTTTTTGTTTTGATTTTTTTATAGCACTTTTATAACACTATATTTAATATGTGAGTCAATATTTCGACTAAAGCGCCATCTTTTGTAAATATATTTCTTACTACGTATCTAATACTCATTGCCAATTTTAACAAAATCCGTCTATAAAAACAGACTTTCAAAATATTCCTGCATATGCAACCAATACAGTTTGAAAAAAAAACTAGATCGGATACATCACTTATCGTACAGTTTCATAAGTAAAAACACTATCAGCTGATTGCCAAAAAATGACAACAGCTGAGATCATCTGTTTTTTTTGCGTGTGCTCTTATCTTTCAACAATTTCCTTCCTTTCTATTACAATTTCTTTTATTTGTATTAAAATTTATTCAAAATACACCAGCACACTAAACCAAAAACACCAATACACTGAACCAAAAATACACCTACAGCCTGCCAGAAAAATCGGTAAGAAGAAGAGTTCCTTACTTATGGAACTTTACGATGGCATCACTTTTAATTTTTGACTATAAAAACCTTCTATACGTCCTTTAAAACCGTAACTATACAGTCTATTAGAAGTACATAAAACAAAAAAAAATTTTTGAGTGAAAATCGTCAACATTACGTTTCACTTGAAATCTATTATTTTGGGAGAATTTCGTGACCCTGTTGGAATTGATAATAGCATTTTCCCGACGTTGTCCGACGTTATCCATTAACTTAGCCTATTAGCTTTGCATAGAATTATCTTTAACGCTTTTGACTTTATAGGACGAATTAGTTTTATTCATCTTGAAATGCATAGTTCCTTACTGCAATATCGCTTTGGTATCATAAAGACGGGACGTCTTGGGGAAAGCGGATAAGAATTCGAAAAAATAGCGATATCGTCGGCGATGATTTTCACAGAATTTTTGTATCGAATTTGCGATAAAAAATTGCTGGCAAGGTAGTATGCAAGTACATATACCTACTTATATGTATATTTACATAGCTAAGTATATAAATATTATCTTTCAAGAACACGAAAAATAAACAAAATCACTGCATCAATGAGGAGAACAAATAAGACCTGTCCGGCGACCGAACGGACTGCACCGAATATGACAAACGCTCGTGAAGACTCCACATCAAACATAGTTTTCAAATGCCACTGGCTGCGGTTGAAGGCTATAATTTGTAGTAAAGGAAAATAAATTTTTAACAAATTAAAACAAATATGTACAATACACATGCATATGTATGTTGCATGTATGTATGTATGTAGGTAATTGATGTATGCAATGTGAATGAAAGTGATTTAATTGGTGCTGCCGACCGGCGCAATTTGACGCCATACCCTCTATGAAATACTGCATGCTTTTATGTATGTACGAGTATTTACAAATTAGACCAGATCGGCCAAAAATGTATTTTGGGATGTGAGTTAGCAGCGAATGCAACAACGACGCCGCCCTTCTGGCTTCTAACTTCTGCCATAATTGTCCTTCACCAACGGAGGTGGTTAAACCTCATTCTAGTGTACCATATACATAGAGGTCGCTGGTCTCACCCTCCAGTTTCACAATTATAATGTCTCTAAAGCTGAAATTGGGCATAATTAAAGTTTTAACTTTGCTCCTAAAGGATAGCTATATGGGTATAATCTAAGTTCTACTCGCTTCTCGATCTTATGGCTAAGGGCACAGTGTAGTATCTGCATATCTCTTTCAAATGCTCTTTATTTTGAGTTGGAGTCAAAAAGGGACCAGAATATATGGAAATTTGCAATTACACTACATAACAAAAACACAAATATTTTAAATGAAAACCCACTTCAGTTGCGCACCTCTATTCTCTTTTTAAATGGATGTCAATTTTGTAAAATTCCAAAGTTTTCGTTTTATCTCTTGTTAATAGACGCGATCAAATTTGGATAGCGTGCTTTGAAGCAGTACAGTCTGTTGGCATTAAAATTAAATTACATTTAACATTTCTCTAAATAAATATTAACTACAAACATTATAATCGTAACTTTCGTGCGGATGGTCAATAAAACAATGACACAACGACACGCTAATGCCGGTTTTCGGCTAAGCATTGAAATGATGAAAAATGTGTGCATTTTAAAATATGCCACGTGGAGATCAACTTAATGACTATCTTTATTTTTGATGCCCAAATTTAGCAGTTAAATTCTCGCCATTTAATGACCAGTGGAAATGCGGTATAAGAAATTATTGTTGTTAGTAAAGTTTATTTTCTATAAATACTGCTGAAAAGCTGAAGCTGAGATAGAAAATTTACGTTGAAGTGAAGATTAACAGAACGCTGGAAGCAATGAAGTTAATGTTTTGTCTACATTTTCTGGACTGGCAAACGATGATCGGAGTTCCTAGCACACATAGTTGTCAAAATAATATCCCTTGTTTTTGGCCACAAATGGCAAACTCGTACCTAGAGTCTCTTTTGGAAGAAAATTCTTAACAGCGCATATGTAACCCACAATCAAGAAGAAGTAGTTACGTAGTTACATTTTGAATTGAATTGAATATGCCTATCTTGTTGCCAACCACCAGCTTTGTTATTTGTTTATATGTACTCGCACTTGTGTGTAGATATGTATTTGTTAAACGAATCGTGGCACAATATCTAATTGGTCTCTTGGTAACAATTTTATGTGATTTGATAATATTCGATAATTATGAGTGGTACGTAGGAGTAAAGAAAATCTTTTAGTTGTAAAGTGTAAACTGTAGTTTATTGGTCTGACTTATCGTCTGCGCGTGCCGCAATTACGTTCCGTGACTTTGTGAAATAGTACACACAGGCACATAAGTGTGGGCTTAAGTACATATTTACGTACACGTTTATCGTTCCAACCCTTCTATGACTCAATCGCGAAAAAACTCGTATGAAAATAACGAGCCTCATAAAAGATGTTGGTACCTCTTCTGATACCCCATGTCATGTGGTATAAAACGTATTTTACATCTTTTGTTTGACCGTTCTCTACTCCCAGAGATGTGCACTACCGCTTGGTGAAACCAAGGTTAAATCTATGGTCCGAACAATATCAAAAAAAGAGTGTTTTTTTATAAAGCGGCCGCCCCATTTGTGATATTTTCTTAAATCATATATTTGATTAACGAGGCTGCGGACGTAGCAGTCATGTGTTCAACGGGCTATTGTGCCTGTAAGAAGTCAGATTTTTCGCTTATCACCGGGTAGCTTGAGCGGCAACGATACTCTGCATTGATTAGGATTAAGTAGTCCATTTGCTGGTAGTAGCTACTCTGGACTACTCGCGATCTACTAATGTAAGCCCTTTTGCTTAAAATTAACTCTGTTTGAAGTAGATGCAACCGGTTACCCGCCCTAAGCCTTAGAGCTAGCTTAGCAGGGTAGCATTTCGATTTTATGCATGGCAGCCAAACTTTCTATAATTTTTAAAAAATTTGATTTTATACAAGAGACGTATGGTCTGGTTATGGCAACTTAACGTAACTAACGGGATCTCTCTTAAAAACTATGTTAAATGGGTGTTGCTACAAGTTGAAAGCCAGTATGCCGCAACCCTTGTTTGCAGCAGAAATATATGCCCGTTCCCATTATTTCTTGAGGAAAGAGTGAGGCAACAGGCTGTGAAGCATCAGATGTCAAAAGTTTTTGGACACACACACGAAATAATGGACATTTGTTTCTTGGCCGTCATCTTGAGAGCTGCATACTAGCCTTAAAATTGGTAGCCGTTTTAACTTTTCCTAATACAGCTTTGATTAATAGAAAACACACTTCGTTTTTGTGTGAATATTTACTGGTAACACTGTACATTGGTGGACAACTAAATAGCAACGCTCTCGGCTCTGACGCCATCTGCCGGCACAGTAGAAACTAGTGCAAGCATATGCTAGGAACTTGGAGTCGATCAGTTCAGTAGTTTTCTAATTAATTAATTTTTATTCAAAGAAATACAAATATTGCTGCCACACATACATCAATACGTAAATTTCACCATTGCGACACCTCAAAATAACCAACTTTCATAGATGGCAACCCAACTCTGAAGTGTCGTATAAGCTGGAAAACTTTTTAGGAACTCTTCATAAATTTTGGTACGTTGCACTGATTGGTGTATCCAGTTGCCAGAAACAGCAATTTCTAAATTTGCCAAGGCCGACTCGTTCGCAGGTGACTGAAAAGTTCATATTAAAAAAAAAAAACATTAAATAAAAATAATAAAAATAAAAAAAAATAGGCACCTCCAAATCCATAAAAAACTCCAGTGGTTTAATATATTTGCCATATGAAAACACAAAATAGTATTCCTTTCTTTTCAACACGGCTTGGTCGAAAGACCAATTTATAATCTTAGTCGAAGCTTTTGGTTTAATCAAAATTGACAAATGATCTGGTCCTGTTAGGGTGAAATTGTAACGGTGTATGTTTGTTGCATTCAACATAGTCTTGGCAGTGAGCGCCAGGAGCGGCTTCTCGCCTGGTAGAATAGGCGACTCGTCGACGGGTAGCCAGAAACTGCCCTTTGTATAAAAAATACTTAAAAATAGAAAAATGGTTGTCAATAGTCCTTTAAGCGTCACGTCTATTTGTATGTAGTTAGGTAGTTTAGAATATTCATAGCCCACCTGGGTTTGCTGAGCTCACATGCCATTCCGTCGCTGCAAGCATCGTCAATATCGTGAGCTGCCTTAAAATGATTTATGACCTCTGAAAAGATAACGGTTCATTTATTTAGAAAATATACATATTTATTGTTTAACAGCAATTTAGGTATGCACATACACACTTAGACCTATTCATAGTTATTTATTTGCTTTTGTTGTGCACTGTGAATTATATTTTCTATCCAAAGTGTGTATACTATTCTTGCTTTCGTTCAAGCAGCGGCTTTTGAGCCACGACACAAAGGGGTAGAAGGGAAACTGCATACCAACGCTATGGCTAATTATGCTGGCTCCATGAAAACATGTCGCATATTTAACCTACTCTCAACTTTTTAAAAACCGTACCGGTGGAATCCGTAAAGAGGAGAATTATAACCTTAAAGATGGGGGGCGTATCCATAACAAGATATACAACGAGAGGGCCGCCCTTAGGGGGAAGTCTTCTGCGCTCTACTCTGAAATGCAGACAGCGCAATACCGGCTGTCAAGTATTGGCATACGCATCTCCAGATAGATAGATAGATAGATAGATATATAGATATTAATGTGAGGTGTACTCTGCGACCTGGTGGTCTATTGTGCCCTCTTCTCTTCACAACACTTCATTTAAGCTTAGATCCCTCAGAAATTTCAATAGTGCCTTCGGAGGTAGGGCGTGGATGTGCTCAAGTTGTGGACACAACGAGCCTAGACTCCTCTCACGTTTTCCATCTCCAGATACTTTGTGAACTTCTATAGAACGCCTTCTGTCTTCTAAATAGCTGCCCATGGGAGAGAGGACTTAACGTTAATCCCGCCAAGACCGAAATTGTACTGAGTATTTGCAAGAAAGTTCCGCACACCGTATTTTCAGTCATTCTCTCATAATGGGACGAGTCTCAAGCTCTCTAACGATGTCAAATATAGCGGTGACATTGTAGGCAAGAAGTAAAAATGTAATCGTAATGTTACAGATCGTTTCGGAAAAGCCTGTAAGGCAGAAATGGGCGAACTTAACCACACATACTTAGTACACTGGAACTAATCTGCGGTGGCCGGCCTTGGACAAGTTCACATATATACATATGTATATTTACGAGCAACTCAGATAGGGTGCAACCTCTATTTTAATAATTACTACCTGCACCAAATCTTTTTCCCAGCGGACCTTTACAATAAACTTCAAGCCAGCTGCAACGCAACCAGATTGAAAGCACCAGTTCTGGATTTCAGTCAATTATTCTGCTTTGACAATAGATTTTCTACTAGGATTCCAGGGAGAAACGAATGCAGCCGGATTGCAACATTCGCTATCGCTAATTGTATACTTTTAGGCGATAGTGCTGAGTGTGACGATGATTTAGCAAAGCGATTGCCGGAATTCAATTGCTGGTCTCGTTTTAAAGGTAATATTTTGGGGCTATAAAGAAAATAAGTATGTATATAAAAAAAAAAAAAAATTACATTATTTTGAAATTAAAAATATCGTAAAAGGAAAACTTATAACAATTTTTGTCAACATTTTTTTACTTACTTTCTAACTGATCTTTTAAGATCTGAAATTTTCAGAAAGATGTTTTTAGTTTTTTTTTTTGAATTATGTATTTTGAACTTGGGAACTTTTTTATAACACCTAAATAAAATTATGTTAAACAATTTTAGTTTAATTTTACTGCATAAAAAACTAGCCAGCAATTTCTATATGTACCTAAGTATGCACATTAGAGTGGTTCAAAAAAATTTTTTCCCAGATAGGGTTTGGGGCACCTTCCAAAATTTTTCCTCTTGTTAAAAGCACAAAAGGAAAAAGTGTACATATATTAATCAAACAATTGTTTAAGTAACCTAAGAGCATTTCAAATTTAAATTATCTATTAAAATATCAAAAGCTTCAGTTGTCATGGCAACAGTAGCTTTTTATAAAAACCACTAATATTTTTGCCAGTTTCACAGCGAGCCAGTAGCGGATTTCAAAGTGATTGAGCACCTTGTATTGGTTGTAGTAAAAAACTGAAAATTGGTATAGATATTTCAAATATCAAAAGAAAAAAACTAAGGTGGTGCGCCGTTTTCTAGGATGAAAATTTTTGTGCCCATACAAAAACAGGACCACTCTAATGTACATACGTTTTAGCTTTTGCGGTGTTTCCAATTTCAAAATACTGTAACTTTTTTTTGAATATTTTTAATATATGTATTTTATTTTATAGCCTCAAATATCACCAAGATGATAAAGTATGATAAAAAAGTTCTGGCCAAAATTCATCCAAATAAAAAATGGTGGATTCCAATGTTTGGAATTGACATGGATTGGTCCATATAAAGGTATGTATTTAACGTAATGATATCGATTTCTATAGCGTCATATATGTATGTAAATACGTACCTTCTGCTGTATTGATGTGTCGATCAATTGCATACACATAAAAGGCTGAATCACTGAAGAACGTACTGCCATCGGCATTGTAATATATTTGATTTGCATGCTGCATACATACAAACATACATATGTGTATATAAAGCTAAAACTGTAAATTATTTTAAATCGATTAAATCTTACCTGAACTGAATAACGTTGCGGAGCTAGTCTCGGGGTATAGGGTGAACCGATCGGTGTAATCGCCAATATAATGAAAAGTAAAGTGCTGCCCAGGAAGCAAAAAATGATAGTGCGTGATTTCCGGTACAAAAAATAGAGTGGCATCTGAAAAGGAGCTCATATATGTAAGTATGTATGAAACAAAAATGCCAGTGCGAATAATTCGTTAACTTACCAAAAATCCAGCAATGAGCAGAGAAAAGATGATGGCAACAATGGAGATTACTATATCAGGATTAAGGGTGGTTCCTATGCGTCCCATTATCGGTATTAACAAATTGTATAAAAATTGTGCCACATATGAGAAGTAGAGGAAGGATATTATTTGGCTCGCGATGACAGCGATGGCAAACCATTGACCTATACAAATGTGAATATGCGAAGAATGAAAGTTCGATCAAGTTGAGTCGTAGATATAAAAGGTATTGAAAATGTACCTTTCCCATGCAGCTTCGTAATCAAATTTATGATAAGAGGTACGGAATAAAAAAATATCGCCAACATAGGCATGAACGCCGAACGAATACTTAAAAGTGTCAAAGCGATCGTGAGTGCTATTAGAATGAGACATTGCGAGTGCATGAAGAGTTGAATGCGAAAACTCAAACAGAGTG